GCCAGTCCCATAGTGGAATCTCTCCAGGCCCTGCTGCCTCACAGAAAGGACTTTCAGATCTAGGTTGAGCCATTTCCCTTGTGATTCAGTCCACGGTGGCTGTTGTCAGCCTTCCAAGTTAATAGAGGAGATGCATTTAGCAATAAAACCTCGTCAGAATTAAATCATTAAAGAGGGGGGAAAAAAACTTGACTCAGCTTTCTGGAAAAGGTCCTACACGGGCGGCTTTGTTGCCATGACTACAGCAAAGCCCACGCCCACCATTCTGTCACCACCCAAGGCCTAGGAGTGGTCTGATTTCTAACTCAGAATGCTGACGTCCGAGGGACTGTGAAGCCAGTTGTGTTTCTCGCTTTTGTCCTCCAGAGCCTCGCGGAAAGCCTCTGCCTTTGACAGATGTGTCTGTTGCTTGGGTCCCGTTCCACTCCTGCCCCTTGGACGCAGCTGCCGATCTCTCATTAGCTCTGGAGGGAGTCGGTGTGTTTGTAGCCAGGAACAGAACTGAGGTTTTTGTGGTTTGCTGGGATTAGAAGGTTGGGGTCCTCTCCGCTACGGGTAGCCTTTGGTCGGAGCCCTCCTCGCTGAGCAGGACTCCGGTTTCCCCTTTGGTTTCCTGCTGGGCTTGGGCAAAATGCTGTCTCCGGCTTAAATTGCTTGTGTGTGTATTTCTCCCTTCTCTCTGCTGGAATTAATGAATTTCAGAGTTCAGAAGGGACCTTAAGGTCGTCTGGTTGTGTAGTTTTTAATCTTTAGTGTTGCTGACTCACTTAGGTAGAGTAGGCGTGGCCTACCGGAAGTTGTCTGTTTTTCCCTTCTCCCATTTTGCAGATGGAGCCTGGTGTTTTCTCCTGTTTCGCTGTCTTTATTCTCCCTGCCGTGGATCCTTGCCCAGCTTCGGTTCCCTTAGCCCCAGGCCAAGCCCTCAGGTGGCGTTGGGGCAGGAGAGGAGGTGGGCTTTACCAGTAGTGAATCCTGTTCCACATTAGTGAGAAAGAACTTCAGATGCCTTCCCCTAGCACACATTCTAGAGCATCTGAAACCAGTGTGCTCCCTAATTCTCTGGAGGGCTCCCTAAACCACAGATGGCTAGGCTTTCCTCTAGAGTTTCTGATTTATAGCTCTGATGTAGGGCCTGAGAATGTGCATTTCTTACAAATTCCCAGGTGCCACTGCTGCTAGTGTGGAGACTGCTTCCTGGGATCCATCATCCCAGGGGGTTCTCAGCTACCAGCAGGTAACTTAGATGCTCAAGGAGGGGCTGCTGTCCTTTCTGGCTCCCAAAGGCTGGCTAAGTGTTGGCTGTGCTGTGTGGATCATCTGCCTTGTTCTTGTGTTCTAGCCCAGTGATTCTTCAGGAGGCTGGTACCACCCCTCTGTGAGTGTTTGGGAAGGACGAGGGGGTGCCTTTTGTTGTCAGTGTGTTTGGGAGGACTGCTGGCAGTGAGGAGGAGGATGCCCAGGTGGTCCTTGCAATGAGGAAAGCTGTCCCTTCCAAAATCAATGTGCTCCATTAACAAACATGGAAACACACGAGTTGTTTTTATCCTGAATGTGCCCTTAACTTTTCTGCTGATTTGTTTTTGCTCATGTCCTTTCCTCTTTAAAAATCTACCCACAGGGGCTCCTGGGTGGCTCAGTCGGTTGGACATCTGACCCTTGATTTCGAATCGGGTCATGATCTCTGGGTCATGAGATGGAGCCCCGTGTCGAGCCCCACTTCAAGCCCCATGTCACCCCCCGACCCCGCGCGTGCTCTCTATCTCAAATAAGTAAATCTTTGAATAAAGAAATGAATAAAATATCTATCCTCAGGGGCGCCTGGGTGGCTCAGTCGGGTAAAGCCTCTGCCTTCGGCTCAGGTCATGATCCCAGGGTCCAGGGATCAAGCCCCACATCAGGCTCTCTGCCCGGCAGGGAGTCGGCTTCCTCCTCTCTCTCTGCTTGCCTCTCTGCCTACTTGTGCTCTCTGTCAAATAAATAAATAAAATCTTAAAAAAAAAAAATCTACCTTCAAATGAAACAAAATGTAACAGGTATCAAAAGTGTTGCCTAGTTAGTTGCTTTCAATGTTGTCTGGTCAAGGTGCCATTTCTCCTTGGATGCATCTCCTTGGGGCCCCCAAAACACCTTTGTTTTTTTGTTTTTTGTTTTTTTTATTCTTTTTAATAGGCTCCACTACCCAGTGTGGAGTCCAGCATGGGGCTTGAACTTCTGACCTTGATCTCAAGACCTGAGCTGAGATCAAGAGTTAGCCCCTTAAGCAGCTGAGCCACCCAGGCACCCAACCAAAACACCCTTCTTAAACACACATCCTCTGACATTTGAGCAGGGTTATTTGGGTTTCCCAGCTCTACGCTGAACAAATCCCAGACTGCAGTCCCCAGGCCCATGGTGATGGGTCCCAGCTTTGTCCTTCCGGTGACATTGTTTTTCCTGAATCAGGCCTTCGTCATTTGCTCGTTCCTGGCTTTGGTTTGTACCTGCTGCCTTTTTGCATGCTCCTGAACCTCCTAAATGCCTCAGTTTATTTATTTTTTTTTTTTTAAAGATTTTATTTATTTATTTGACAGACAGAGATCACAAGTAGGCAAAGAGGCAGGCAGAGAGAGAGGTGGAGGCAGGCTCCCTGCTGAGCAGAGAGCCCGATGCGGGGCTCGATCCCAGGACCCTGGGATCATGACCCGAGCTGAAGGCAGAGGCTTAACCCACTGAGCCACCCAGGTGCCCCTAAATGCCTCAGTTTAAATTTATTTTGATAAAGTCCTCTATGCTCATGAGAAATACAGTTTACAAGGGTACACAGTGAAAATGATCCCTCCCCTTTCTCCTGCATGTTTCCCTACCCCCAGGCAGCCGCTGGTCCCAGTTGAGAACTCCGTAGTAGTTTTGTGTTCATCTGGGAATGTTCTAGGCTTGTGCAAACTTAGATTTCTAATGTCGTTTTTGGAGGGTGTGTGTGTGTCAGTCTTTTAATGGCGCTCAGTGTGTCCTGCTCTTTGCCTGATGCAAAAGCTTGCAGAGGGTCATGGATCCGTTTGCATAGAGGTGCCTCCTTATTCTTAATGGCTGCGGAATATTCCACTGTATGGGGGGCGGCGCCTGGCTGGCTCAGTTGGTTGAGCATGTGGCCCTTGATATCGTGGTTGTGAGTTCAAGCCCCACGTTGGGCGGGAGATTATGTAAAAAAATAAAATGAAGAAAGAATATTCTAGCGTGTGCCTGTGGTATGTTATTAGACCAGTCTTCGTTTTGTGGACATGGTCGTCATTTCCAGATGTGGGTACAACACTCAAGAGTCTCATTTGAATCACCTTAGGGGTGCTTTGCTTCTTGTGACTGTATCCGTAGCATGCGTTTCTAGGTGGAGGAAGTGAGTCTTCACGGATGAGGGCAGAGAGGGGTAAGGATCTCTGCTGGGCACGAGAGAGAGGAGGCTCTCTAGGGGAACGCCGGAACGCCAGGTCCAGGCTGTGCCTTTTTGGGGAGTTTTCCTGTTAACTCGCTGGGCAGTGACCCAGATGAGCTGAAGATCCTGTGGTGTAGCATTTGGGGATTTTCCTTGGATTTCCTTCTTACACTCTAGGGCTGTTTCCCCATGTGCCTTGGGGCCATCCCTTCAGGCTCTCTGGGCCTCCATTTGTGGCATGATCCTCCGAACTCTGGGGTCTGTCTCCCTCAAGGTGCCTGTGGTTAGTATTTCATTTCCTCATGGGGCTGTGTGTCAGTGTAGCACCCGGAACCCTTGTTCGGGGTTTTTCTGAAGTTGCCCGGTGAGACTGGAACATTCCATCCTGTGGATCAGCTTTTGCAGAAGTCGTTCACGGTCTCCTTTAATGAGCCTGCTTGGAAGATGGTCTTTCAGGCAGAAGGAGACCCCTAGGAGGCCTCGCATGTGTCTGTACTGGGCCATGTTCATCTGCCCCAGGGGCCCCTGTCCACACGCAGAGGCTGGTGACGCACGGCGCGTCCCGCATGCTGGGGCTTGCCTGTGAGTTAAAACTGGAGGAGGCATGTCGTCAGTTTCGCGTTGGGGATAGTCGTCCTTCTGGATTCCACATCCCACCCTATCCCCTGTGCTCTCACGTAGCTGTCTTTCCTTGTGCCTGTAACTTCTCTTTCTCAGAATGTAAGGCACACCACCCTGGGCCCTTACTTCGTCCCGATGCTAATGAGACAGCCGGCGGGCATGGAGTGGACCCAAGGCCTTGCAGGTGAAGATGGGGTGCTGGTGGAAGTGTCTGGGCTTAAACGAGATGCTGGGAGAGTAAAAATGGGAGGGAATGAATTGGCGAGGGTTGGGGGGCTGGCACATCTCAGAGGAGAAACCGGGAGAATGTCATTTGTGTCTTACCCCTTTGGAGGAAGGTCACAAACAAGCACAACACCATCACTGTTGTCGTCTTTCACAAAGAAGTATGTATGCCTTTGATATCTGGAAGTGTGTGGCCTCTCTGGGCTGTCTTTCCTGGTTTCCTGGCTGTTGCCATCAGGCATGGGTATGAAGAAGAAATACTTCTTTGGGATGAGGATGGTACTGGGGTCTCTGACACAACTCATGGTCAACAGGGATACAGTAGAGAAGGGTGGGGATTTTGGCAAAATGGTGAGTACATTTCCAACTAAATAAATGGCTCACTGGTTGATACACAGATCAGTCTGGGACCATAAGTCCATGCAGGCCCAATTTGTGTGTGTTTTGTTTTGTTAAGAAAAGCCAGAGGTCTATGATTATGTGAAGTTTCTCAATTTTTTTTACTATAGCAATGAATTAAAATTTTAACAAAAATGGTATGCAGACTGAAGAAAGAGTGTGTGACTTTTGAGACCGTTAACCAAAGGGATGGGGTGAGTGTATCCTTCTAGGAGGACGAACGAATGAACGCTACAATGGCTTTGGGCCTGGGGATGGAATGCCTTGTGTCCCACACACCCTCTCCCTGGGGGGCCTCGGCCTCCCTGATGACTGCTTTAAAATACGTGGTCCTGTGTGTCTCTTTCAGATCCTGGCTCCACAGAGAGAACAGCCCAGAAAAGAAAGTTCCCCAGCCCTCCGCATTCTTCCAATGGCCACTCGCCACAGGACACATCCACAAGCCCCATTAAAAAGAAAAAGAAACCCGGCTTACTGAACAATAACAATAAGGAGCAGGTAAAGGGCCGCTGGGAATGGCGTCCACACCAGCAGGACAAAGGCGGTCGTGAGCAGTACCGTAGCTTTCTGACAGCCTGCGTTCTTGGCATTTAACAAGCTGCCTTGCTCCAGCTGTCATTTGTATAAGACAAGAAGGGCAGTTCCAAATGGGTCTGTGTAGAAATTTCTAGTGGCTTTTTTAGATCTGTTCTGGGGACAGGGTAGTGACCCAGATGAGCTGAAGATACTGTGCTATAGGATTTGGGGATTTTCCTTGGATTTCTTAACTTAGACTCTAGGGTTGTTTTCCCCAGGTGGCCTGAAAAGTTTTTCCTGCTAGGCCACGTCAGTAGGATGGGGCTGAGGTCTGCCTGGAGGTAGTTACGGGGCTGAGGCAGGCTCTCCCCTACTGGTCTCACCTTTCTCATCTGTAAAATGACAGGTTTAGGTCTGTGGTTACACAGCTGCTGTCTCTACCCATTGTCTACTGTCCTCTTTGGTAATTGGTCACCATTTCCTCTCACTGCGCATCACCCTTGGGGCGATCAGAGTCTTTTTCTGGAACCCATCCGCCTGCAGCCGACACCTATCAGCCAGATAGGAACATCCATTAGCTGTCTTAGATCTTAAGAGACCTAGCTTTAAAATTCTCTGATGCAGGCTCGATACTCTTCTGATTTAAAAAAATGGTAGATGCGTTAGTGGTCCACGACATCAGATCTCCTAGCCCTGGAGGAAACAGAATGCCCCGGTGGTTCTGTGAGCATTTCGGTAGGGATTCCTCGGGATGCATTCATCCGTCTCGTGCATTACGGTGTGCCAGAGTGGGCCCTGGGCATCAGAGGTTGAATAAAACAAGGTTCTCTCTTTCCTGGGAAGAAACCTAGCAATGGTTAAATGCCCAGAACTGGGAGAGGGGTGCATTTCTGCACACTAATCTATTTCCATGCTCAAAATTATAGAGCGAGATGCCAGCGCTGCCTTTGCGGTGTGACCGTGGGCAAGTTAACCTTTTCGTGCCTGGTTGGCTTTATCCACTGAAATGGGAATAATGGGATTTCACGGGGTGTGGTGATGAAATGAGCACACGATGTCAATCGTAATAATAAAAATTAAGCCAGGCTCGATACTAAGTGGAATAATCGCAGGAACTAGGTGTGAAGTAATGAAACGGCAGCCACAGAGATGTTCTAGATCTGTGCTGTTGTGTGTAATCGCCACAGGCCACCTGTGGTCATTGAACACCTGCAGATGCCAAGTGTGACCCAGGGACTGGGTTTTTATTTTTGTTTTTTTTCCCTTTCTTTTTTCTTTTTTAACCAAAAAATATTATTTAAGTTTTTATTTAAATTCCAGTTAACATCGAGCGCAGTGTCAGTTTCAGGTGTACAGTGTGGTATTTCAACACTTCCCTACAATGCCCCAGGCTCATCACAGTACGTGCACTTGACTTCATCCCCACCCCCGACCTCCCCTCTGGCCACCGGCAGTTTGTTCTCTGTAGTTAAGAGTCTGTTTCTTGGAGGAACTGAATTTTTAATTTAATTTTAATTTGTTGACTGCCTGTGGCTTATAGCTACTGTGTCGGATAGTAAAGGTCTAATGAGATGGGAATCCCGTTAAAAGAGAAGAAATGGGTCCTAAATAAATGTCTCGGGGGATTGAGAAGCACATACAATGTGCTGGTGATAATAATACTAAGGGACATTGGTTGGCCATGTGCCACTTCCTGTTGTAAGGCATTTTTCTGGGTTCCTGTTTGTAATAACCCCGTGGGAAAGGGCTGTCATTGTGACCATTTTACAGATGAAAACACAGAGGTTCAGAGAAGTTAAGGTGTCTCCTCAGGGCTTCAGAGCGAAGCAGAAGTTGCATGTGAGCTTAGGTCTCTCCGTCTGGCTTGAAGCACTGACGACCCATCTTTGTCACCCAGAACCATCCCGTAGCTGCTGGCAGTGAAGACTGAGCAACACAGACGGGTTCCTGGGGCTCCGTTGCTTGAGCATCTGACTCTTGATTTTTGGCTCAGGTCATGATCTCAAGGCGCATGAGGTTGAGCCCTGCCTCGGGCTCCACACTGGGCTGGATCCTAGAAGAGATTTTCTCTCTTCAAGAAAGAAAAGAAAAGAAAAGAAAAAAATAAAAAGAGAAACAAACAGGAAGGCCATAGATAATCCCTAAACCTTAATTTAGCTAATAATTTAACTTTCTGGGCAAACTCTCCCTTACCAGGTACCAGGAATGCGTGAGGTGGAGTGTCCCCTCTTTGCAGGAGGCCTTCTCCTTTGGCCTCTCCCTGTGTGTGCTCACGTGAATCACACTTTTTGGGTTCCTCCCTGTCTTTTAGGGAGCTGGCTTGTACCTCTCTTTCTGGAAGCTGATCTCCTTGGGGAGTCCATGCATTTTCTTCTCTCCCGTCCACATCCATGTGTTAGGACCATTTCTGTTAACACTGAAGGAAATGTGACCACAGGGACACATTTGTCAGTCCGTGTCCCCTTCCAGACTGGCAGCTTCAGAAAGTGGCCAGTGTTTGGTGGGTGCTGTCACAATGGTGGGGGGTTGGGGTTGCTCCTCGTGAATACATAGCGCACTCTGGGTTTGGAAAAGAGGGGACTGGGAGGGGCTGGACATGGGGCATGATTACGCTTCTCAATAATCTGTCATCCTCAGTATTGATAGAAGAGTTTATGGGACTGTTGCACAGGGGAAATGCCATCTGGACCTAGAGATCTGGCTCTTTCTAGCCCCACTGTGTCTGGGAGACTCAGTGTGGGACCCTGTCAGTTGCTTGCCCATCTTTGAGATTTAGTTGTCTTGTAAAATAGGGGTTTGGGCTGGAAACATCGTAAGGCTGATTGTAGGTTTGTTTTTCAGCCTTAAAACTCCCTGGGGCCAAACAGTCAGGAGTTGGCAGAGGATAAACTGGCTTAACTGCAAAGAAGTGACGTTCCTGACCCTTGACCCCATAATTCATTCTAGTACATAATATTTGCACTGTAGCAGCAGCCTCTCTCCTGTAACAGTCTGTTTTTCCTTAAGGGGAACTTAAATCCCTTAAAAAAAAAATTCTTCTGGACACTTTCCCTTTCCTCTTTCTTTCTTTTAGGATTTTATAGCATTACAAAATAATGGAATTAAAAGCAAATTGTAGGTCTGTAAGTGCTGGGTTTTACCAGTAGTGTAATTTCTCATTCACCAACATTTGAAGATCATGAGATTTCAAGTAACAACTTATATATTTGGGTTCTTACAAAAACTCAGAAAAATCCAGCAATAGCTGCAGGGGAGTAGAGCCTGCCCCTTTATTTTTTTAAATTTTTAAAAATTATTTTTACTAACATATAATGTATTATTTGCCCCAGGGGTACAGGTCTGTGAATCATTAGGCTTACACATTTCATAGCACTCACTGTAGCACTTACCCTCCCCAGGGTCCATAACCCAGTCACCCTCTCCCTAACCCCCACCCCCAGCAACCCTCTGTTTGTTTCTTGAGATTAAGAGTTTCTTCTGGTTTGTCTCCCTTTCAATCCCATCTTGTTTCATTATTTCCTTCCCTAACACCCCCCCCCCCCAATTCCTCATATCAGGGAGATCATATGATAATTGTCTTTCTCTGATTGACTTATTTCGTTCAGCGTAATACCCTCTCGTTCCATCCATGTTGTTGCAAATGGCAAGATTGCATTTCTTTTGCTGAGCCTGCCCCGTTAGACACAGGGTGTTCTAGTTTTCCACATCCCCCCGCATCGTCAAACTCTGTTTGCTTTGCTTACACCTGCGCTTCTGGCTCTTACAGGCATTCAGGTGCCTTTGAATTTCGGCGCATATCCGTATTCTTCCGTCCTCTTCTCATTTTCTTTAATTTATTTTTTGTGTTCAAAAAAGGGAGAAAGCTTTTCTTGGCTTATAAAAACAAGCAACCCCCCCCCCATATTTTTCCATTTTTGGTAGACTTTTTATTACCAATTGGAGATAGGGGTTGAATTTCTTTTTTTTTTTTTAAGATTTTATTTATTTATTGGACAGACAGAGATCACAGGTAGGCAGAGAGGCAGGCAGAGAGAGAGAGGGGGAAGCAGGCTCCCTGCTGAGCAGAGAGCCCGATGCGGGGCTCGATCCCAGGACCCTGAGACCATGACCTGAGCCAAAGGCAGAGGCTTAACCCACTGAGCCACCCAGGTGCCCCCAGGGGTTGAATTTTTAAGGTTGGACTTTATATCACCCATTTTTCATATATTAGGAATTCAGTAATTTTTAGGGGAGTTGTAAGAGGAACTTTAAAACACACTTTGTTTTATGGGAAAAAAGTATTTAAGGCTTATAATTATTATTATTTTAAAGATTTCATTTATTTTCTGGACAGAGAGAGCGACAACAAGCAGGGGGAGTAGCAGACAGGGAGAAGGAGAACAGGCTTCTCGCCAAGCAAGGAGCCCAATGCAGGGCTCAATCCCAGGACCCTGGGATTATGACCCAAGACAAAGGCTGATACCCAACTGATGGAGCCATCCACATGCCCCTGTAATTAATTTTTAAAAAAAATTTTATTAATTTATTTGACAGAGATCACAGGTAGGCAGAGAGGCAGGCAGAGAGAGAGGTGGAAGCAGGCTCCCTGCTGAGTGGAGAGCCCGATGCAGGGCCAGATCCCAGGACCCTGAGATGAGCCAAAGACAAAGGCCCAACCCACTGAGCCACCCAGAGGCCCGCCCTGTAATTAATTTTTTTGAAAAAGATTTTATTTATCTATTTGAGAGAAAGAGCGTGTATGTGCAGGTGGGGGGTGGGGAGGGGCAGCGGGAGAGGGAAAAGCAGACTCCCTTGATGCGGGACTCCATCCCAGGACCCCGATATCATGACCTGAGCCAAAGGCAGACGCTTAACCGACTGAGACACCAGGAGCCCTACAATTACTTTTTTATAGCCTTTTGTCTAGTGGTTTTACTCTGTAGGAAAGGTTTGAAAACTTGGAGGTGCTTTTTCTTGGGATTGGGGAGGGGAGAGACAGCCTA